AGCCATGTCTACCGTCCCCAGATTTCTCCTGACCGTATTAAACGTCGGCATCCTAATCTACGGCGTGTACCACGTGGCTGCCGCCGGCCAGCTCAGCAAGGCCTCATCGTTAAACGAATGCCTTCGTGACAGCTCAGCCTCTATCCGGCGGCTTGGCGTTCTGTGGTCGGTGATCGCCGCCGTCGGGATCGCCGGAGCTTGGTCGGACGTGAAGGCTTTGCAGTACATTTACGTTTTTGCCCTCGTCTTCTCGACAGCGGCCGCCGTCTTTTTTTCCCTGTTTGTGTGGTCGGCGATGCCGAAGACAAACGCCGACGAGGTGTTCTACAGGACGTCGGTGCACGGGAATTGGCTGGACGAGTACTCGACGGCCGCGCAAAAGGGCATAGCCAACGATCGAGACTTCACGGCCGCCACGGATTGTCTCGACCGGACCGAATCGTGCCGGGCCATGCGGAACATGACGGAGGATCAAAAAGCCGTTTTCATGGATGTACGTTTTTTTTTTTTCGTCTGTTGTTGTCGTTCAATACGAATATCAAATTAAATATCGTCGTAAAAAGATGATTAATTTGATATATCATATATAAAAAATTGATAACAGATAAATATGCATATCAAATCGAAGATCATTAACTTGGTACATCATATATAATATTAACTTTGAATATTATACATTGAATATTCCGAATCACCAAAATTTAACACATATGATTACTAACATCAAGAATTGACTCAGACAATTACGAAACAACAGAAATCGACACGTAGGAACGAAAAACTTCTGATCACCAAAATTCAACACATATGATTATGAAACAACAGAAATTGACACGTATACTTGGAAAACTGATATATATATATATATATATAATGTCGTATTTTTGGGCAGTTTGGTTGCTGCAGCCCTCCAAATCGGTGCGGTTTGCTGCAAGACCATAAGGGCCGTTGGGTTGTGGCTCCGTACGGGCTCAACTCCACGGACGACGAGTGCCAAATGTGGGCCAAAGTGGGCGGGGAGTGCTTCGAATGCGACTCGTGCAAGGCCGGCTATTTGGGTAATTATCAGAGGCAATGGGACAATAACATGAACACACGGGTCAAGTCAATTCTCGTGCTAGTGGCTGCGTCGGCACTCGCTTACTACATTTTCATCGACGAGCCTTATAGGGAAGGTATTAAGGAACAAAAGCGTGGGAAGTTCCTTAGCATTAATGTTTAATCCATCAACATGAGTTT